CCACGTCCTCTCTGCACTGGTCAAGCAGAGGCTTGTGGAAGCCCTCGGTAATGAGACAGCCTCGAGATGCAGCGTGTGGTGGGGTTGTGTCCAGGCTGCTGGGCAAGCCTTTTGGTTTAGCAATCCCCAATTTCCACATAGCCAGGTTTAATGAAAGTGTTTGGAGGTCATGCACTGGATGTATCTGCCTCTCCTGGAACAGCCCCTGTCCTCTGCTCCGTGGCCAATATGCCCCAAGCACCCTGAGATGCTTCATTCCTGGGTTTGTCTCAAACGTGGGTTTCTTCCTTCCCTCCCCAGTCCTAGCTGTGCTGGAAATGTTCCCAAAAATGCAAGCCAGCTCTTTGCTGAGCTTTGAAGTGTGGAGTAGAATTGAACAGAGGAAAAAAAAAAAAAATCTATCCTGTGGGGGATGGGTTTTTAGGAAAAAACCTATTGAGCTAATGGCATTTGTATTAAAATCAGCAAGTCCTTGGAGTCATTTCCATAGGAACCAGCCCTGGTTCTGGGCCGGGCGCAGGGTTGTGGCCAAGCGGGGAGCAGTGCTGCAAGGGGGGGCTCTGAGGTCTGCCCACTGCAGGCAGGGGAGGGGGCAGGGCAGGCTGCTCGCTATTCCATCCGTGATTCACGGCTCTGATTCACAATTCCTTCCTACGGCCGTGGAAGTCAGCCAGATCTGGTCATCAGCTGTGTGCCTTTTTCCAAGGCGAGAAGTTATTCTGGGGCATTTTTAGATTACAGCACTTGTGGGTTTTTTTGTTTTGTGTTTTTTTTTTTTTTTTTTCCTGAGCATCTGAATTCTGGATGATTGTACTGCAAGTAATTGAGGCACTTGAATTTCCTGCTTAGAGGAGCAAGCTCAATACCCTTTTTTGCATCTCTAAGGCGTTTCTAAAATAGCTTATCTGTGTGGCATCATGGGGAGCAGGCGCACAGCTTTGGGGCTGTTTGTGCAAAATATGGGAACACTGGGTGCAGGAAGCATGCAGAAAAGGACCTGAGGGCCTCTGGGTTGAACATGAGTCACCACTACACCCTTGCTGTGCTGGAGACTGACTGGGTTTTACTGGTAAGACTGTAGACAGCAGGTCAAAAGGAGAGATGGTTTCCTCAATTTGGTACTTCTGGGACTACACCTGGGCCACTGTGACCAGTTTTGGGCTCCCCACTGCAACAAAGACATGGCCATGTGGGAGCCACCAATATGACCAGAGGTCTGGTGCCCATGGCAGGGGAGAGGAGGTTGAGAGAACTCCTTCAGCTTGGAAGTGTGAGAGCTAGGGGAAGGGTCTCATTGCTGCCCTCAGAGGTGCACCGTGAAAGAACAAGGGGCAATGGGCACAAGACAAATTTGTAGTAGATGTCAGGAAACGTTTTTTTCACCCAAGAGTATTCAAACACTGGAATAGGACACCAGAAAGATGGAATAATCCCATACTCAAAATGTGGCTGCTCAGGCCCTGAGCATCTAATGTCAAGTTGGGTGCAGCTGAAAGCTCGGCCCTGCTTTGGGTGGGATGTTGGACTAGAGTCCCACCTTTGTTAGGCTGGCTGCTCTGTCCCTCTCCAACTGAATCAATCCATGATTTTGTGATCCCACAGGTCATTAAGGGGATGAAGGGCTTTTGCTGTATCACTGACACTGGGGTGCATCCATACCACAGGGGCCGGTGAAGGCCACCACATGAGTTCACATGTGCTCACTCCCTCTCTAAGACCAGAAGAAAGGAACAGGATCTGAAACACTGCCCATCTCCTCGTCCTCCAGGAACAACCCTCCTTCTCTCACTGGTGATGCAGTCACCCTTCCTCAGGGACACACAGGCCTAAAAGAAGTGCCCAAACCAACCTGAACAAGATAGAAGAAAAGTATAAGAGAGACCTCGAGGGGCTGGAGCGGGTCCAGAGAAGGGCAATGAAGCTGATGAGTGGTCTCTGGAGAACATGGCTTGTAAGGAGCAGCTGAGGGACCTGGGGGTGTTTAATCTGGAGAAAAGGAGGCTGGGGAGAGATCTTACTGCTCTCTACAACTCACTGAAAGGAGGTTGGAGTGAGGTGGGGCTTGGTCTCTTCTCCCAAGTAACCAGCGATAGGATGAGAGGCAATGGGCTGAAGTTGCCCCAGGGGAGGTTTCCATTGGATCTTAGGAAGAATTTCTTTCCTGGCAGAGTGGTGAGGCATTGGCCCAGGCTGCCCAGGTGGTGCTGGAGTCCCCAGCCCTGGAGGGGTTCAAAACACTTGTGGATGTGGCACCTGAGGACATAGTTTAGTGATCATGGGAGTGTTGGGTTGATGGTTGGACTTGATGATCTCAGAGGTCTTTTCCAAGCTTCATGATTCAGCTGCTCCTCTTGTGCTGTGCACTGGAGGGGTTAGACTGTGTCCCAACCCCCTCCCAAGCTGCAGGGACTAACCACTGCCATTCTTCATCCCCTTTCCAACCCCGGCCCTGGACAAATCTGGTGACTGGTGGTGGCCAGCTCTTCTGTCTGTGCCTGCATGCCACGTGTCATTGGGGTGAAGAGTGAGGACCACTTTGTTAGGGAGCTCAGTGAGGTCGGGTTTCCTGGTGAGGATGAGCCTTTCCTTCCATGCTTTCCTGCTATCCTAGGACATGGAAGCATAGCCTTGACAGGAGGCAGGAGGAGCTTCTGTCCAGTGCAGGCTGTTGTCCAAAGGAGAGGTGGGAGGGGAGGAAAGAGTCTTTCAGGAGGTGGAAAATATGATGCTGGCACTGCTGTGTCAAAGAGGGAGTTGAACCTGGGCCTTCAGTTTCACAACAGTGTACAAACAGGAGCATTATAATTTAAAACAAGAACCACTCCAAACCCCCAAACCAACAAAATAAAAGGATTGGCCTCTTCCTCGTGTTTTCCTTTTCCCTATCCCTGGATCCCATCAGCATGTCGGGGCAGCCCTCAGAGCTGAGAGGCATCGAGATGTTTCTGGGCAGCTTTCCTGCAGCCCTAAATATCCTGGGAAGCTCAGCCACCGGCTGGAGGGGCAGGAGCTGCTGGGGTTAACTGGTGGCTGAGTGGGTTGTGGTTTGTGATGGGGTATAGGTTCCTAAGTCCTTTATTGGATCTAGCCTGGGGCTCTATTCCCAGCCTTGCTGGTGACATTAACAGGTCACTGCAGCCCCGGGACTGTCCCCTCACCTTGTCCTCAGTGGAGGGATAGAAACAGTTTTTGGGATGTTGAGGGCTGCAGCAGGCAACGGGTATTTTGGAAGTGCTGCTGTTGGCAGCGGGGTACCAGGGCAGCCCCTGCTACCTCGGGGGCTTTTCGTGTCCTCCCCAGATAAACCAGTGTGAGGGCAGTGCCTTGCGCCTGGCTGTGGGTGGGTCAGGCAGGACGGCCAAGAGGAGAACGGATGGATGATCATGTGGGTTTGGTGCAGGTCCTGCGTGTCTTTGGGCAGGTTGTTTAAGACCAGATTTCCAGCAGGGTACCCAGGAGTGTCCATCCACGCATCCTTACCCTCAGATCACCTACAAGGTCAACCATAGCAGATACAACCCCTGAGGAGGACATGCCTGTGGGTCCACCCCATTTCTGAAATGGCCATATTGAGCCTGCCCTCTGCATGAGGGCTACAGGTGGTGGGGGCACTCAGGCAGTGGGATGCTCAGCATGATGGGGAAGAGTCCATCTGCCACCCAAGGCATGCCCTTGGGTTGGCACCAGCAGTGCCTGCGTTGGCATTTGCAGCATGTGGGGTGCTGAGCACTCAAGCAAGAAACCCCAGAGATGGGGGAGATTTTGGTTGCTCGAGCATGTCTGAGCAGGGCTTCAGGGTCTGGCAGCTCCTGAGTGTAAGAGCTGGGACCATGGTGGTGGAGGGAGAGGCCACCTCTGTGCCCTTCAGCCTGCTGGTTTGAACACTTGCCTGAGAAATGGGCTCCATTCACTCCAAGGGGAAGGGCTTTCTGCCTCCCCCATCTCGCTTCTGGAGAGCTTCCAGCTGCAAGAGCAGGGCAGCCCTTGTCCCAAGCAAGCCAGTGCACAGGCAAGGTGGTCAGAGCACTTTGCTGAGAGAGGGGAGACCAGTGGTCTGAGTGACAGAGATGCCCCAGGAAGCTGGTGAGTTGTTAGATCTCTCTGCTGGAAGCAGGGAGGCTCTGGAGGGGCTCTGGGAGGACAGCCCTGGCCTTTCCAGAGGGGAAGTGCCACCACCAGCAAGAACACAGCTGGCACCTGGCAAACATGAACGTAGAGCTTGTTAGACTGTGCACAGAGTGCTGATTGTAACCTTGATCACAAACCCTCCTTAATCCAAGCCTGGTAGCACCCCCAGAGGTTTCCCAAGAGGACTGGTGGTGCTCAGCCCCCATCAGCCAGCCATAGGGATCCGGGGTGAGCACTCACTTCCCTCCTCTCCCCATCTCTCCATCCTCCTCAGGACTGTTTGCTGCTTGCTCTGCAAAGCTGGTGGCTGCTCTTGGACTCCCTTCAGAGCAGGTTTCATGGCACTGGGTGGCTGGTTCTATGCTGATCCCAAATCCCATCACACCATGAGGTTTTTGTCACCCTCAGTCTTAGGAATGAGGCTGCAGACCAGAGTTATATCCTAAAACAGCTTGAAGGGGGCATTGACTCACATGGCCTGCAAAAGGAGTTGAAGACCTGGTTGTACAAGGGTACATGCAGCTTTGCGGTTTCAGGATCAGCATTTTTGATTGTATTACATTATATGGGTGGGATTTGGAGTTGATGATGTTCTGGCTGTCTCTGAAGTCAGCAGTAGTTGGGCAGGTGTTGCTGGAAGCTCCACTGAGCCCCCTTATGGTATTGCTGGTTATTCTTCAAATGCCTGCTGAGGGATGGAGGCATCTGAAAGTGTTTTGACTCTTGAGTGGTATTTAGTAGAAGGATTTAAAGCCTGCTAACTCCTCTCTGACAGCGGATAAGCCTGTAGCCTTGGCTTCTCATGCTCTCTGATGTGTCTACTCCTTCTTACCAACCTACAGTAACTTGCTGTTTCTCTTCTTTTCCCATAGCTCCCAGAATGGAGAGGAAGGTGGAGCCTGGCCCAACAACCAGTTTGACACAGAGATGCTCCAAGCCATGATCCTGGCTTCAGCAAATGGTTAGTCTCCATCCTGTGTGGGGAAAAAGACGTTTCTTGCTCTTGTGCAGACATCTCAGCTTCATGCTGGTAAATAGGAGGCTGGTGGGATAGACCCATCTGGGGTGGCTGCAAAAGTCCGTCTTCAAGAGGCTCTGTTGGAATAGCACTGCTGTCTGTGTTACCCTCCAGAGGAGAGGAGTTGGGAAGGATTCAGGCAGAGGAGATAACAGATAGCCATCAGCATCAGGCATGCTGTAGACACGGGTACCTCCTTCACCCAAACTATGTTATTCATGTACTAGACAGAGCGTTGTCTGGCTTGTGATGCAGTTGTGTTACATGAAAGAGCCGGTCTTGAGATGATCTTTTTTAAACTGCGTGGTTCCAGAAGGTCACAGCAAATGAAACGTCTGCTGTGTTGCAACTTGACGTAAGGTGAGGGGGTGGGAAGCCTGGAAGATTCGTTTGTGGCTGAGGCTGGGCCTGGAATACAGTAAACACGTGACTCAGTATCCCCAATAAACCTCATGTCCAGAGATGCTGGTGTGAGCTCCCTCTTGGGCTTGCCAAGAGTTTCCCCACCAGCTGCTGCTGGCCCTTCACCGCTGTAGTCACGAGGGTTTGATTTGGGGTCATTTTGGGTTGGTTCATGCTTGTTTACACGGTGCTGTGTGGAAGTGGTGGGCAGGGAGTCTCCATGTCTCCATGGCTTTATGTGAAAGAATTGCAATTATCACTCTGCTCAGCACCATGGCTAAAGAGCTTCATTTTCATCCAGCCTTTATTTATAAATACCTCCAAGACTTCCCCCCCCCCTTGATTTAAAAATAGAAGCAACAGTGCAGCCATAAAACCCTGCACAAAATGCTTCAGATGTTTCCTTTGAGCTGTTGGGAAAGAAGGAATCTGGGGGAGGAGGGATGGATGGCTTTGGTGTTGCTTTCTTGGAAAGCTACAGCTGAACTTCACCGCTCTGGAGACACCGGGCAGCCTGGAGACACAGTTGCCATGGCCGGGAAGGGGACAAAGGTCTTGGCCAACAGAGTTGTTTATAGTCAAGGGAAAGAAGCAATGCGAAAATGTGTCTCTGCTCTGAAAAAAAAGACTATGGAAAAATAACCTCCGGGGTTGCATGTGGTTATCATCACCCGGTGTCTCCAGATCCAGTTTCCTTGCTTTCAAATAAAGCTGTTTTTCTAAGTGCTGCTCCAGCGGGTTGCTTTCCAGGTTAAGCACCGACTTCCCCATCACCCCCGGGCCCTGTTGCAGCAAAACTCCCCCAATCCACAAGTCTCAAACAGTCCTAACCTCTCCCACGGCTTCAGACCACCCAGGGGGTTAACTTAAATCAGATCCATCTGTTAGATAAGGGCTGTCCCCTCCCCCGGAGAGGACACTCAGTGCACTCCATCCTTTCCTTGCCAGGCTCTTGCTGGGATGGATGGATGGATGGATGGATGGATGGATGGATGGATGGAGCCGGGTGAGGACACAGCACAATCTTTTTCCACCAGCATTTTCATCTCTCCCCTGCTCTCTGTCCCGTGCCTTTTCTGCTCTCACTCATTAAGCAAAGTGTTGATTGGAGCAGGCTTTGATTAGGGGCAGTGCTAATCGCCCATTAAGCTTTGTGCTGCCTATCCTTGGATAAGGTTTCCTGTCTATTTAAATGATCCTTATCTCTTTGTGTCCCCAGCTGAGCTGGGTGGCAGGTGGGACACAGTGTCACCGATGATGACATGTGCCTTTGCTCACTTGCTCCTCCAGCAGGAGCTGCTCCTGCACACAGTGGTTGGTGCTGACTTGCACAGCACCACGTCAAGCCCATGCTTGGGGCTGTGCTGAGCAGAGACCTCCCAGGAGGCAGAAGGTCCTCTGATGGTGATGGAGGGTTAAATCACTTGTCCTATGGTTAGTCACCCTCCCAAGCCAGAGTGCCTGGGGGAGCTGGTTTCCACCCAGGGCTGGGACCCTGCTGTAGGGTCACCCTTCCTGAGTTCCCTTCCTCTGGATCTTCCTCCCTTGGAGCTGGGAATGCGAAAAGCTGGTGTTTTGAGCCATTTGATAGGGCAGGGGCAGCTGCTAAAACAGACTAAGGAGCACAGATGCTCCAGGACACCAGACACTGGAGGGCAGACATCCTGTCCTTAAAATACTCTGGTTTCCAGTGAGCATTTAGTAGGGTGCCATGGGATGGTGGGAGAGCAGACAGGAAGGCAGCCTGAGAAGGTCCTTCTCCCCAGCTCTGCTGCCTGGGGTGCTATATTGGGTTCTTCTGAAAGCCCCACCAGCAGCTGCAGCAGCACATGCTCTGGGGCTACCCTCTCCTCCCCTCTTCTTGAGAAGGTGATGGAGCTGCTTGCTGGTTATTTCTGGAGAAGCCCAAACTCTTGTTTTCCTCCTGAGGACCATTTGGGTTAACAGTTGGCTGCTGGTAAAGGCTGAGTGTAACTTTTCCAGCAATAAGAGCTGAAGTGCCCTGCTTGGCAAGAGAAGCTTGGTGCGCATTTATAAACCTCTGTTGTCCCTCTTCTTCCTTCTCTTCAGCTTTAATGTCAATGTTACCTAGAAACAGCCCTTTGCTCTTCCCTGGGACCAATTGGCAGCCTGGGAACTTCACTAGTGGCTTTTTCTCCCCTGTGAAAAGCTGTGCTGTGACTGCAAACTAATTGATGGTGTTCAGTTGTCCTGGATGCCTCTGGCAGCCCGCAGCCCCAAGCCCCCATGCTGCCCTGGTGCAGCTGGGATGGTCCAGGGATGAAGCAGGGCAGCAGCACCCAGTGGGGAGGAGGGTACAGGAGAAGGTGCCTAAGCCCACCCAGCCACCAGCTGGGCTATAGCTAGCTAGGGAAGCCCAGGAAAAAAAAGATCTTTCCCTCTGCCAGAGGTCATGGTCCACCTGTGAGCCGGTTCCTGACTGCAGCCTGGCCTGGCAACACATGTCCAGCCATCCCATCCCCATTCATAACACCCCAATGGGTGTGGGACTGAGTTGGGTATTAATGAAAGAAGCTGCTGATGAGTATTTGTGATAAATAGCACTAACTGTACATGCACATCTCCTCCAGCCCAGGCTCCTCAAACTCCACTAGGTCTGGGACTGTAGGGACTGGAACTAGGTCTTGGTCTTAACAGCCCCAGGCAACACTACAGGCTTGAGGAGGAGTGGCTGGAAAGTGACTGGCAGAAAACGACCTGTCAAACTTTTGGCCAGCTGGCTGAACATGAGCCAGTGTGTGTCCAGGGAGCCAAGAAGGTCACCAGCATCCTGGCCTGGATTAAGCATAGTGTGTAGGGCAGTGATGGTGTCCCTGGACTCGGACCTGGAGGGACGTGATGGTGTCCCTGGACTCGGAACTGGGGAGACCTCAGCCTGAGTTCTGGGTTTTGGGTGCCACTGTATAAGAAGGACCTTGAGGGGCTGGAGCCCCAGAGAAGGGCACGAAGCTGGTGAGGGGTCTGGGGACCATGGCTTGTGAGAAGCTGCTGAGGGGCCTGGGGGTGTTTAGCCTGGAGAAGAGGAGGCTCAGGGGAGACCTTCTTGCTCTCTACAACTCCCTGACAGGAGGCTGGAGTGAGGTGGGGGTTGGTCTCTGCTCCCAAGTACCCAGCAATAGGATGAGAGGCAATGGGCTGAAGTTGCTCCAGGGGAGGTTTCAACTGGATATTTGGCAGAATTTGCCTGGCAGAGTGGTGAAGGATTGGCCCAGGCTGCCCAGGGGGGGCAGGCCTGTAGAAAGGTTCTCCCACTGGTGAACGCTTCCACAGTGGGAAGCCAACTGACGTTTCTCCACGCTGGCTCGCTGTGTTTGCACACCCGTTTGCACACCCCCTGCCTTGGTGCACAATACCCCGCCTGTTTTGGGACTCACTGGGTGTTTTCCTCTGCCTGCTCCAGCAGAGCAGCTGTAACTTTTCAAGCTGCAGTTGCTTCACACTCCTGACCTCTGTGAGGGGACGTGCCCGCGGCAATATTTCAGGGGGCCGGTGGGATGTGGTCCAGCTTTTTGTTTAGCTTTCTGGCTGGTTTAGCCACCTCCATCTGCTCAGGGGGAAGTTAGGGCAACACAGAGGCATGCACAGATCTGGTCGGGAGTGAGGAAAAACATGAGGAATCCAGCCCACGTTCTCTACCCGTTGTTTTTAATTCTCTCAAGTCTCTCTGCCTGCAAAAGGAGGGAGCAGTAGCCCCGGATTCTGCCTTGGGTCCTTTCAGGTGCTGTGTTTCTCCACTCTACCCAGGAGAACACGTACACAGCCACATGTACAAAGCAGCTAAAAGGCTGAGATGGGATCCTGTGTCTCCAACACAGAGGCAGGGGTTTAATGAACCAGTTCTGAGCAAGGCTCTGCAAGGATCCAGCCCTGAGCCAGGCACAAAGCAGATTGTGCAGCGGCCCATGGCAACAGCATCACTCGCCCCTCGCCATCCCACGGTGCTCATTTCTCTCCCTGCATCCCCCCGTTTCCATCTGCTCCTTCCAGCAGTGCCCCAGCATCCTGGGGGGGGGTGGGGAGGGGGTTGCGCCCTTCCCCCACTCTGCACTTGCTCTCTCCATGCTGGAGCTTCACAGAGCGACAGGATGAGGAATTAATTTGCCTTCCCCTCCCCCTGCTCCCAGATCTGGACCGTAAGAATCTCTCTTCTGCATTGTTTTGCTTCGAGCTCAGCTTCCTAGAGCCATTTTGTGGTATTGCAGGGGAGGGATTCTAATTTCTCCTCTCATGTGCTCTGCTCTCTGAATAAACCTGGCTGGAGAGAGACTGGGGGCAGAGGTTACAATGCAGTGGAAAAAGTAATAATATTGGATTTCCCTTAATGTGTTACTAATGGTTGTGGCTGGACAATATGTTTGTGATGGGCCACTTTTGAAGGTGGGGGGGATGTTTTTCTGTGGAGGCAGCAGCCGGGGAGGGGGGCAGAGCAGATAGGGAGGGAGGAACAGGCAGTCCCACAGTCACCAAAGGCCGAGCTGAGGTTGTCCTATGCCAGCCAGCCTCTGGTCCCAAATCCCAAACCTTTAGCAACGATATGAGACAGAAATGAGGGATTTTGGTGCCAGCTGCACCATGCTCCCTGCAGCCATCCTGTGGAGCGATAGCACTGAGGGGTGGCGATGGGTGAGGGCAAAGGTCGATAGCACTCAGGTCTGGGTTTGACCCCCCAGTGGGAGCCTTTCGGGGGTGCTGAGGCATCCGCCATTAACAACCTGTCCTTCTTTTTCCTCCCACCCTCTGGGATACCCTCCAGAAGCCGCTGACGGCAACTCGACCCTGGGCGGCGGGACGGGCACCATGGGGCTGAGCGCCCGCTACGGCCCCCAGTTCACCCTGCAGCACGTCCCCGACTACCGGCAGAACGTCTACATCCCGGGCAGCACCGCCACCCTCACCAACGCCGCCGGCAAGCGCGACGCCAAGAACCCCGGCTCCTCGGCAGGCAACAAGAAGAAATCCGGGAAGAAGGAGAAGAAGTAGAGGAGAAGAAGAAGAAGGAGACCTTAGAGCTACAGGGCAGCTGGCTCCAGCACTCCCCCAAAACCACAGCCCAGGCCGGAGGACGAATGTGAAATTTTATTATTGTTATATTTTTTTTTTTTTTTGGTGATGCAAAAAGTAGGAAACGCTGCGAATGTATCTCATCATCATCAGAGCTAGGAGCAGGGCTTCGCTGCTGTTAGATCTCGTGATGAAAAGCAATCCAGAAGCTAAACAAGCAAACAAGTGCCCTGTGAATACTTGCTAACGTTTTATACAGTCCCTCGGGTGTTAGAATATACGAGGGCGGGAGGTCTTCTACCACGTCCTTGGATCCGATTTGCTCCCAGACCCAGTCTGAGCAAGGCACGAGGCTTGTGCTCGGCTTTGTCCAATGTAAATAATTTTAATGCAGATCTTTTAATTTATAAACCTTTGATCTTTGTTGGTTTTGTGAAAGGAAAAGGCAGTTCCTAGCTTAGACCCCATGATTCTTCGCTCTGAAACTTTCCATTAGTAAAATTCACCCCTGGTTAATGAGAGTGATGGATTTGTTGCTGAGAACTTGGTAGGGAGTGCTTCAGTTCCTGCTTACCTGTTACCCAGAAAAAAAAAAAAAGTGTTTATAGTGCATGAGTCAAAGGGAATATGGCAAAGCTGCATCCTAAACATTTTTATTCTTTTTTTTTTTTTTAAAAAAGTGTAACCACTGATGGCCTGAAATACAAGACAAACCCCCCACCCTCCTGATGTCTAAGAGGTAGGGAATTTGGTAAGGAGCATGTCGATGGGCTCAGCAGCTGCCCCAGCAGTTCTAGGGGGTCTCCGAAGAGCAGACACATCTCATCCCTTCTTTGCAGTAAATATTTATATGTACAGTCAATGTTCTTCTGGAATTAAAGCTAAGAGAGCCTCGCTCCCTTGGGGCCAGGCAGCCAGCCGCCCGAGCCCCCGCCAAGGGGGCCAGGGGACGATGCTTCCCATGTTCTGCACACCATGTCTGCATGCATGTCCTTCACCTCACACTTCCACTAGCGCAGTTAGCTCCACGGACCCACGGAAGTCCTCGCATGGCCACGCAGCATGGTGGCAATGTGCCAGCAGCTGCCCGAGCCCCCTGGCTGGGGCTGCCTTGAGGGGGAGGGGGGTGGGATTGGGCAAGCAGGATGGGGAAACTCCATCTCTTCTTTTTTGGGGTGTAGACCTCAAAGAAGGGTGTTTTTTCTCGGGGGTTTTACGCAAGGAGGTGAGCTCCACAGAGCTACCACTGCATTGCTTTGGTGCAGAGCTGGTGACCAAGTAAGTGATGATTGGTTTGGTAGTGTCTGGGAACCAGACCTGGAGGAGGGACCCAAGCACTGGAGGTGAGCACGGGGGGATGCTGCAAAGCTGGGGTGACAAGGAGGGGGGGGCACTGCACGGGACCACACTGGGGCAGCCCAGAGGAGATGGGACTCCCACTGGTCCTTCTACCCCACAGAGGGAACCAAAGGATGAGGAACAGTGTTTCTTCACATGCCCATCACCCTTGCATCAGGCCAGCTTCCCATTTCAAAGCAGCTCCAAGCCCCTGGCGGGGGGGTAGGGGGGGACTTTGTGCAATCAGAGTGAGGAGAGGGGCTGCAGTGTGACCAGGAAGGGGCCGTGCCAGGCTTCCCAGGGCTTGTGTGTTGTTTTTGGTTTGGTTTGGTTTGG